TTGAAACAACACGGTTATATAATTTGATAAGGGGAAGCAAAGGAACTGTGACTGCATCAGGGTAACATCGACTTGCTTCTCCCCGGGGATAAAGTCAGAGAGGATGCTGAGGAATGTCAGCAGGTGCTGGGTCCCTGGTTTTCACAGAACAATCCTTCAGGTGCTAGCAAGCATCAGGAGGAGGATGCGGTCCTGCTGGTACGAGGAGGGGCTGGGGCAGGACAGTCATCATCCAAGCAAAGGCAGGGCTTCGTTACAGACACAGAACGGCAGATGTAATTTAGAAATATCACCATCCTGGCACCAGTCCTCTTGGCTTGGATTCCCATGTAAAAATCCAGTGTTGCTGCACGCTCAAAGGTGTGCCCTGGCTAGAATGAGTGGATATTTTGCCTTGCATTACCAAAGCACAAGGAGGATATTTTGCCTTTGCGTTACCAAAGCACAAGCACATTACTAAAGCACAAGGAGGTCTCTTTGAGGCCTTGTTTGCAAAAACAAAACAAAACAAAAAAACCCAGAAAATTGCTTTTCTGGGGAAGAATGGTGTGATCGGTGGTTGTTCTGATACATCTGCTACATCTCAAATTCTCTTGCTTTTAGACTGAAGCATTGGTTTCTGTGTCTTATGTTCTTTGGAGGCAAATTTCCAAATTAGCATCTCCATGACTGGCTGCCAAGGCATCCGTTTGCTATTTATTTACCCAAACTAGCAGTTTCCTGGAGACAGACTGCCGGGGCAGGGAAGGAAAGTTTTCCTATAGACCAGATTTGTAAGTTTAGGTTTCCTCTGCTTCACTCCCCCGTCATTGTCAACTTGCTTAGTCCACAGCACTTTCATGCATTGTTTGTGATGACACAGTGTGTTCCTGGTGATAAATGGGGTGGTGCTGCCTTAGTGTATAGCAGGAAAAGTGCCAGGGTGGAGCGATGCCTACCACTCAGTAGTCGTGAGACCTACCGTGAGATGGTTTTAACTGTGTGAACCTCAGTTTCTTCAGCTATAGAATGGAGTTAATGTCTATTTGAATTCCATAAATTATGTATGATATATAATTATGTATTACACATAAATTACACATATAACTACAAGGTAATGTGTATATACACATCTATATAGATAAGTACAGTGTTCGGCCCATAGGAAGCACTTATGAACACATCCTTCCCTCCCTTTTTTTTTTAGATGGAGCTTTGCTCTGTTCTGTTGCCCAGGCTGGAATGCAGTGGCACTATCTTGGCTCACTGCAACCTCCGGCTCCTGGGTTCAAGTGATTCTCCTGCCTCAGCCTCCTGAGTAGCTGGGATTACAGGTGCCCACCACTACACCTGGCTAACTTTTATATTTTTGGTAGAGATGAGGTTTCACCATGTTGGCCAGTCTGGTCTTGAAGTCCTGACCTCAGGTGATCGGCCCACCTCTGCCTCCCAAATTGTTGGAGTTACAGGCGTGAGCCACCACATCTGGCCCCTTTCTTTTTTTTAAAAATGATCTCACTAAATAACTTTCTTGCTGTCTATCTGTCTGATCTACCTGTCTATCTCACTCTCTCTCTCTCTCTCTCTATCATCTATGTATCTGTTTTTCCAAATCAGAATGATTGACTTTTATGAAAGAAGCAGAAGAGAGCCAATTATTAAGCGGAAGCAGTTGGTTTTAGTCTTGGTTTTTTTTTTTTTTTTTGAGACGGAGTCTTGCTCTGTTGCCCGGGCTGGAGTGCAGTGACCGGATCTCGGCTCACTGCAAGCTCCGCCTCCCGGGTTCACGCCATTCTCCTGCCTCAGCCTCCCGAGTAGCTGGGACTACAGGCGCCTGCCACCTCGCCCGGCTAGTTTTTTGTATTTTTTTTAGTAGAGACGGGGTTTCACCGTGTTAGTCAGGATGGTCTCGATCTCCTGACCTCGTGATCCACCCGTCTCGGCCTCCCAAAGTGCTGGGATTACAGGCTTGAGCCACCGCGCCCGGCCTAGTCTTGGTTTTTAAACATCATAGACTAACATGGTGTGGAGTCCTGATAAGTAAGCAACAATGAAGAAGGGGGTCCCAAGTAGGGGAGAACAACTGTTCCAAGAGACAGCTAATCACAAACAAGCCACTGGCACAACTACCTCGCTCCGAGTGTAACATCCTCCAGCATGACCTATAAAACTTCCCTCCAGCCCCTGCCTCTTTCCAGACAGCCCCTTCTCTGCTGTACTGCCCGTTGCTTCCTTGAAACGTACTTTCCCTTGAGTAATTGAGTAATTGGCCATTCTTTACCTACAACTGTCTTGTTAAATTGGTAAATTCTTTTTTTTCTTTTCTTTTTTTTGAGACAGAGTCTCACTCTGTTACCCAGGCTGGCGTGCAGGGGCCTGATCTTGGCTCACTGCAACCTCCATGTCCCAGGTTCAAGTGATTCTCCCGCCTTAGCTTCCCGAGTAGCTGGGATTACAGGCACGTGTCACCATGCCCAGTTAAGTTTTGTATTTGTAGTAGAGACAGGATTTCACCACATTGGCCAGGCTGGTCACAAACTCCTGATCTCTGGTGATCTGCCCGCCTTGGCCTTCCAAAGTGCTAGGATTACAGGCGTGAGCCACCCTGCCCTGCCGGTAAATTCTTTTGCCACCCACAACACTGGCACCAGCCAGTTGCACCCACGACACTGCACACCACTGGACAAAAAGGTCCCTTTGCTCTGTCACAGTGTTTAGACTAGACTGTACTAAAGATGGTCTAAGACTAAACACACAAGTTAAAAATCCCAGATAAGCTTTATTTGAATATTTCACAAACAAGTTACACATTTCTTTGTAACTACATAGTAAAGCAAATGTTAGTTTACAGCTCAGAAACTGTAAGCAATTCAGCAGGGAGGGCCCAAAGGAGTGACATCTGCCATAGAATGAATATTTTAACATGATTAACTTTTATCCCTTTTGAAAAGTGTTTATGAATAAAAAGCATTTAAAATTTCTTCAAATTTTTGTCTGGGGGGATAAATAAAATTTTGTCATCAGGACAGTGTTGACATGTACATGACAACACAGATTTTATATATATATATAGCCTGCATTTTCAACTCTCTGAATTCATGTATACGATAGACATAATGGATTTATTACTCTCTAAAGAAAAAGCTTTTTAAAAAGTAGCAGAAAATAGAGGCTCCAGCTTATTTTCATAGTGCTTCTATAAACCCCTTTCTCCAAGTCTTCATAGCTTCGGAATGAAAACTTCCCTAATCCTACACCACCCAAGGCATTTCACCATCTCCCTACCAACCAGCTGGCACGTGGAAAGTCAAATAAAATGGTTCAAAGGCTTATCAAGCTTAGCAACCCTCCAAAAAAGATGTGATGATAGCAACGTAGCATGAGAGAGAGGAAATTTTTCCACTTACTTAATTTGATGAGTATCTAAATTATTTCTGCTTAAATTATAGACTTACTCTTAAATTATATAATTGAAGTTCTTATCTGAAACCCACATACACACATCCATTCCCACTATTTTTTGCTGTCTCTCTATATCTTGTACATGCTTTCATATGAACACAGTCACAACTGCAGAATTTTTTCAAAAGTGGGCTAATCTATTAGCAATAGGAAATATAGTAAGGGTAACACAATGGATATAGTAAAAGAATTGTTCATTGCATTACATGTACAATTTTGAAAGCATTTTATCATTAGACTATGAAAAATACCAAATCTCAACAGTCGGTTAAGGAGAGAAGATGGAGGTCTCTGTGAAAGATGTAGCCAGATTATTAGATTATTATTCTTAGTATTTGGTAAACAGAAAAGGTAGGTGGCTTTTCGGTGCTTGGGTTTCCTGTTGGTGTGCTTTACCCTGTTGACTTATGTTTAAGGCAGCTACACGTAAATAGATTAATGGGCTACCTTTACAAAATCAGAAACTACTTAGAGATCCTTTAGAATTTGCCTCTTTGGATAATTTATAGCAAAGCACAGTGTAAACCCTTCAAGATCTCATCCCACTTTCTCCCTCAGTTTTCTCTCGCCTCAGTTGGTTTGGTAGTGAATGGGTACTCTGGAGTTCATAATTAATTTTTTTTCTGAGACGGAGTCTTGCTCTGTCGCCCCAGCTGGAGTGCAATGGCTCACTGCAAACTCTGCCTCCTGGGTTCAAGTGATTCTCCTGCCTTAGCTTCCTGAGTAGCTGGGATTACAGGTGTGCACCACCACACCCAGCTAATTTTTGTATTTTTTAGTAGAGATAGGGTTTCACCATGTTGGCCAGCTGGTCTTAAATTCCTGACCTCAAGTGATCCACTCGCCTCTGCCTCCCAAAGGGCTGAGATTACAGGCATGAGTCACCATGCCCAGCTACTTTTAATTAATTGAGATGTTAAATTAATCTAGGAGAAGCCCATCATCTACTTGCTAATAAGCCATGGAAGGGAAGGGGCAAATAATTATGTTATCTTGTACAGGAAAAATTTCTAAGGTCTCAATATTTATTAAGAATGATGTTAACTTTTTTTTTTTTTTAAACAGAAAGCTTTCAGAATGAAGAAGTATAGCAGGAACTTAATAGTAGGTAATAGAAGATACTGTTAGTAAAAGGTATTTAATAATAAAAGGTACCTCATAGTAAAAGGTACTGTTGCTTAACAGTAAGTTGGTTTAGCTGCATAGTCATGCTATCGGAGGCTTCAAACTAGGGTCTTCTGGTCTGCAGTAGGCAGTTTGTCTGGTTCTGCTCCAGGGTTGAGAGTGGCATTGTGATGTTGTGGGACGAACATGAACCCTGGAGCCAGACAGCCTGGGGTTCGGTTCTGGAGGCCACTTACCTTGGGCAAGTCATTCAATTTTTCTGAACCTCAGCCTTCTTTATCTGTAAGTTGGAGAAGATAGTAGTACTTGCCTTATGTGTTACTGGAGGGATTAATGAGTTACTATCTACAAGGATTTTGTACAGTGTGGGCACATAAAGCAGTTGATAAATATAAACCATTATAATTATTAATCACCTTTTTGGTACCATGTTCATACACCCCCCAGGAAAATTGTAGACTCCTTTCCTCAGAATCATCTGGAAAGCTTGTGCCTGGGTGCAACTGCACCAAATCCAGGATCAAACACAGACTTGTTAAAATTTTTTTAGTTGTCACATCTTAAGATTAAGACCCAATGTATTTATTCTGGGTAAAATGCAATTTGAGCTACTCTATGAGTGTGATGGTAGATGGTTGTTCCATTTATCAGACTGTTTAAATTGACATTCTGAAACTCTGGAATGAGATATCAAAATTTCTAATGATGTTCTTTAAGAGCTAAAGTCTTATCTGATACCTAGCATGAAATCTGGCTGGATTTATTTCATTATGATGCTTTGATTTGCCGGTGTCGGCCAAGAGGCATAGCAGGTATATCCACCTGAAATGATGCTCATTTGGAGAGAATTGGCAGTATTGAAGGTGACTTTCATTGAAATTAGAAAATGTGTGCATATTCTTATTAAAACAAATTATCCAAAATAATTAATTAATCATATGTAAAATGAGGGAGAAAATGTGATTTTTAATCAACTCAGGTGGTTGAGCATTAATAAAAAGAAGTGAAGGTGTGACTGTTTGCTCAGTGGAAATAAGACCCTCAGAACCTGTGCTCAGTAATTGGGAAAAGCAATTTCTGGTTCTTACTTGACTTCATTTTTTAATAAGTTGGACTCAGATAAAATGCATAGGTAATAATGAAATAACATTTTGATTCTACTATGGTTTTCAGTAAACAATGTAATATATTCCAGCAGGTTAACAAAACATCCTGTGATTCAGGAAATGCTACCACTTTGGCCTATAGGAATTGGTTTCTTTTTTCTTTTTTTTCTGGGAAGTATTAGAAAGAACAACATGACGGAAGTATCCCTGTCCTGATGAGAACTGTGGGGACAGAGAATATGTTTAAATAAGGGAAAGTTGAGGCATATTCTATTTATTAATGAAGTGTGCACTTTACTCCTTTCTGAATTTTCAGCTAAGTTAAGCTTCTGGTTCGGTTTGCAAAGTGCAGGAGAGCTTACTGGCTTGAGAGAAAAGGAGTCGTCTTGTATCTATTTCCTTCAGTGAATGGTCATTCAGCTGCTGTGTATCTCCTTGCAGGTGGCTGAAGTTTACGTTGGAGGGCGACTTCCTGATTGCCAGTTAGCATACGTGTCCGGCTACCAGCTGCCTGACTGGCTGAGGATGCTCTTGGTTTGTTCAAGGGTGAACGTTCTCCCCCTGGCTTGCAGGAAGAGGGCAGCGAGGTGTGCCAGGGAGGCACGTGATAGTGCCCTATAAGCCAGTAGAGGAAATGTTGTAAAGTGTGAATGCACAGGCTTAGATTTCCCTGTCCCTGAGTCGGGGGCATGTGCTTGTGGAGAATGACCCTATCAAGTTCAAGGTATGGCATCTCCTGATCCAGCAGCAGGATTTGTTCCAGAGAAAAATCCCCAGGTCTTCGGACTATTGACAGATGGCTGTGACTATGCTTAATGTGGTCATCAAATTGAGAATGGTCCGTCTCATCTTTGAGTATGCAATTACTTTTATAGCTGATTATGATGCCCTCAGATCATATCATGAGGTGGACAACATGAGTCCATTGCCCATGCTGAGAACTGGTACTTCTGTCTTTATAGACCCACTCACCTACCAGAGATGTACGACAGACCCCAAATGGTCAGTCAAATAGTGAACTTGCGCTAAGACAAGACCCAGCCAGCATCAGTGACATTAGACACAAGATAGAAATCAGAGAAAAGTTACTGTCCAGCAGTTTTAACCACCAATACCCATTTATTTTAATGGAAAAAAAAAATCTCTGCATTCTATATGTTCCAAAAGGATTTACTATGGAAACAAATACAATATATGGAACTCTATCTGTATAATTTCACTACAACAAAGACAACATGAGACTTCTACTTCCTACAGAAAGCTAACTGAAAGCACAAGTGCAAACATAGATTGCATAAGAAAGCGTGTGTGTGTGCGTGTGCGGTTAAAACCTTTAGTAAAGCAACTGCATTAAAATATGCTAAGACACTTACCTTACCCTAGTTCGTGGCGAGCTCTAATCAAAAGCCACAAGCTGTCACTAGTTTTGATAGAAAAATTTGGTGTGAGCTTTGATGATTCATTTACGGTTTATCAACAAGAAGGGAATCTTAGAACAAGCACTAACTTTCTGCTTTTACATGCTCACAGAATACAAATCAGTTACTTTTCATACATAATGAACGTCTTTTATTTTCAGGTTTGCAAACAACGGTAGTCAATTCACACAAAAGGGTACTTTTAAAACTACCTGTATTTACTCTATTTTATGCCTGTATATATGAAACAAACGGAGTGAATGTGCATAAATGTATGTCTGTACATGTGGGTATATATGTGTATACAAGATGGTACCTGTAGACCTCTTTGTATGCAGGTATGACCTCCATGATGACAGTTGCAGTTACACATTTACTGAGGAGGGAGAGATTCTTTACCATGATCTGTGTCCCCATAAGAATCAGTGCGACTGTGGATTCGGGACACAGACAAATGCAGGTTGGTGCCCATGAAAGAAAATGTCAGCCCTTTTCTTGGCATGTGGTGGTGAAATTGCCCGCCCTGCTCCTCACCACCTTGGCTCAGGATCACGGCATCAGATGGCAGTGAAAATCGGTTGCAGTCCTCGAACTCAGTAAAGAGAAAGGACTTCTTTCTCTGCTCTCCCTCTCTGTGGACCTGCCTGGCTGGTCGTGGCCGCATTCAGACTGAACGGGACAGTGGAGAAGCAGCTTCAGAGCAAAAGTGACAGCTCTGTGGTCTGTCCTCATGCTGACCTTGAGGCGGGAGGCCCTGGAGGGTTCAGTTGTCTTAGTTTTCACCCACCTTGCTTAACCTTGCAAGGAAGAATGGCGTCAAAACGAGGCTTCTCCGGGTTAGTCTCTCTCTATAAATACCGTGTATATACACATACAGATACTCATACATATACCAATACTAACCCACAGACAACGCTGGGTGCCTGGAACCCTGGCTAGCGACATGTTAACACACCAGAAAAAGTAGTCATTGTTCCTGCTCCCAGAAGATCAAGTCATATGTCATGATCTTTAAACATTCAGGGAAAATTCAGAGGATTCCATTAATTAAAGGAGGGAGGAAGATGCTGTCAAAATGATGAAGTACAGACTAAGTGAAATTGCAAAGAAAACAAAAACCCGGAACAATTGAGGCCTAGTTGTGAAGTTCGATAGCTGTAAACCGCAATCTTCAGATTTGGATAGATTTTTTTTTCTTTTTCCTGTTGCTATGGAAACTTGGGAGTCAAGCTTCAGACGTCAGGAGTTCTCACAGACCTGAATAGAGAGGGTTCAGAGTTAAGTTGGGAATATCACCAGTCAATTCAAAACATTTTAGCTAAAAACCAGATAAATGACAGGCAAGCTATAATAAACACATTTTTAAACATCACACGACTTCGGGAGATTTTTTTTTTTCCTTGTGGATCACATTGGAAGACAGAATGAATAGTTATACCATAAAAAGCTGGACTTCTCTGAAAATGCTAATGGTGACTTCAGATGCCAGACATCGCTCAGACCGAGAGCTGCTATTACCACTATTACCAATGAGCCTTATGTCTTTGTCTGTTAGCACAGAGACTGCTATTTTTTTTTCTTTTTTTTTGAGATGGAGTCTCACTGTGTTGCCCAGCCTGGAGTGCAGTGGTGCAATCTCGGCTCACTGCAAGCTCGGCCTCCTGGGTTCATGCCATTCTCCTTCCTCAGCCTCCCTAGTAGCTGGGACTACAGGTGCCTGCCACCACGCCGTGCTACTTTTTTGTATTTTTAGTAGAGATGGGGTTTCACTGTGTTAGCCAGGATGGTCTTGATCTCCTGACCTCGTGATCCACCTGCCTCGACCTCCCAAAGTGCTGGGATTACAGGTGTGAGCCACCGCGCCCAGCCAGAGCTTGGCTATTTTATGAGCACACTGACTATGTATTTTAGAGATTGGTGATTATCCCATATATGTATTGACTTCCTGTGACTATATACATATATATATATACACTTAAGGATCACAAGTCACAAAGCAAGACACCTATTGGTGGTTCTTCAAATATGACATGTTTTTATTTTATTTTGAGACAGGGTCTCATTCTGTTGCCCAGGCTGGAGTTCAGTGGTACAATCTTGGCTCACTACAACCCCTGCCTCCTGGGCTCAAGCAATCCTCCCACCTTAGTCTTCAGAATAGCTGGGACTACAGGCATGCACCGCCATGCCTGGCCAATTTTTGTATTTTTTGTAGAGATGGGGTTTCGCCATGTTGCCCAGGCTGGTCTTGAATTCCTGGCCTCAAGTGATCCTCCCATCTTGGCCTCCCAAAGTGCTGGGGTTACAGGCTCACCTGTGAGCCACTGCACCTGGCCCAAACATGGTATATTAATTTCCTGTTGCTGCTGTAACAAATGGCTATAAACTTCAAACAACATAAATCTCTTCTCTTACAGTTCTGGAGGTCAGAAGACTAAGATGAGTCTTACGGGGCTAAAATCAGTGTTGGCCGGGCTGTGATCCTTCTGGAGGCTCTAGGAAAGCATCTGTTCCCTTGCCTTTCCTGGCCTCTAAGGGCTGCCTGCAGCCCTTGGCTTATGGCCCCTTTCTTCACCTTCAGAGGCGGCACTGCAGCATCTTCTCTTTTCACCTCTGGCCTCCCTCTGTTTTCGTCATCGCATGGTCTGTTTCTAACTGACTCTTCCTTTGTCCCTCTTATAAGGACTCCGTGATTATATCAGGCTCACCTGGCTAATCCAGGATAATCTCCACATCTCAAAATGCTTCACTTAGTTACATCTGAGAAGTCTCTTTTTTCTGGAGACAGAGTTTCACTTTGTTGCTCACGCCGGAGTGCACTGGCACGATCCTGGCTCACTGCTACCTCCGCCTCCCAGGTTGAGCGATTCTCGTGCCTCAGCCTCCTGAGTATCTGGGATTATAGGCACCCACCCAAAGTCTCCTTTGCCATATAAGGTAACATGTTCACAGGTTCCAGGGATTAGGATGAGGAACACATATTTGGGGGCCATTACTCAGCCAACCACGAAAGTAGCATTGTGTTCCCAGAGGAAAAAAGGCATCTCGTGGCAGACTGTGTTGCAGACTTTGAGAACATGTCATTCATGTAGAAACCTTCACAGAAAGAGACATCAGCATAGTGTGCATTCAAGAGCCTGTCTTCCCAGTGCCTGCTCGTGGCTCCTCCTTACGGCCAGCTTGGGGGCTGCCTCCAGCGTGGAGTCTGTCACTCTGCTCAGCTCAGCAATGTCGGCTGGGAGAGGCTCTGGCTCTAGGATGCCCAGATCCAGTTTCAGAATGAGGCATGCTTTTGCCTGCATTTTTCTGTTTTTGCCACCTTACTCCTTGCAAGCACGTTTTGTCTGTGCAATTCCAGCAGAGGTGTGAATTCCAGCCCAGGACTAAGAGTTCATGAAATTGAGTAAACTATTGTGTCTACAGTAATAGTTGCCAAAGTCTTCCTCACTCTCAGGCTTCTGTTATAGTCTTGCTCCATCAAAAGAAGGAAAAAAAAAAAAAGGACTTAATCAGTCTACAAGTGCTGTGTACTCATTTATCTGACCATTGTTCTCACTCCTACTGATACCCTAGTCCTGCCTCCACCCAAAAGGCTGCCCTCTGCTCAGAACTTCAGACGTTTTGAGGCACTCTTTTCATTTTTACAATGATTAGTTCTCATTTATACCCACGCTGCAAGATAGTTGTAAAATATGAACTATTTTTGCAAAAGCCTATTAGGAAGAATGTTCTTTAAGATGTTGTTTTAGGTTGGATACTCACTCCTCTTTATCTTTTTAAATGGGCAAAAGCCATTTATGTTGTCAGGTGGTAGAACGTCTCTACTTTCTGTATCTAATTTTGGTTAGACAGCAGAGTGGGGTTGCTCAGCCTCAGCGCTACTGACATTTGGGGTTGGATAATTCTTTGTGGAGGGTGCTGTCTTGTGTATGGGAGGACGCTTAGCAACACCCTTAACCTCCACCCACTAGACGCCACTAGTGGCGTCCCGCCAGGCATAATAATCAAAATGTCTCTAGACATTTCAACTGTCTCCTGGGAGGCAAATTAGTTAAAAATAGAAAAAAAAAAAAAAAAAAAAAAAAACAGCTTTGGCTGCATAAAATCTACTAAATAGGCTCCAATCTCTTGTTTTAAAATTAGAGTCTCAAATTTCTATTTTAAGTCAATTTAGATGATAACATAAGTGATTCCTCCCAGGGCTACTGAGATAGTTACTTGAGGAAATTTATATAATTCAGGTAAAGCCCTTAGCTTGTATGTGCAAGGTGCATGAAAAGCTCCCAAGGGTCAACTGCCATTGTCCATAATGTCATGTCACTTAAAGGGACCACAGCTCCTCTGCAAGCATGACTGCGGCTGTCTGCAGGCCGAGGACAGCCCACTCTGCCTGGGTTTAATGCCTTTTCAGGACCTGTGTCTGCCCATAATACGTTTCACAATAGAAAGGAACAAAATACTGATACATTCTAGGAAATTCTAGAAAAGACAAAACCATTATTAGAGAAAGCAGCTCAATGAGAGCCTGGATTGGGTAAAGGGATCAATAGCAAAGGAAACTGTATTTTGACTAGGGTGTGGTATAAAATTCTGTACACTTACCACAATGAATCAAACTGTACACTTGCAATGGATGTATTTTGTTGCATGCAAACAATACATTGAAAAATAAAATTTAAGAAGAGTTTAGTGGCTATCTTTTGCTCATCTTGGCTTTTTTTTTTTTGGAGACAGAGTCTTGCTCTGCCTCCCCGGCTGGAGTGCAGTGGCACAATCTTGGCTCGCTGCAACCTCCGGTTCCTGGCTTCAAGCGATTCTCCTGCCTCAGCCTCCTGAGTAGCTGGGATTACAGGTGTGTGCCACAACGCCCAGCTAATTTTTATATTTTTAGTAGAGACGGGGTTTCACCATGTTGGTCAGGCTGATCTTGAACTCCTGACCTCGTGATCCACCCACCTCGGCCTCCCAAAGTGCTGGGATTACAGGTGTGAGCCACCCCACCCAGCCAGACATGCACATTTTGTTTTTATTTTTTTGAGATGGAGTCTTGCTCTGTCCTACAGGCTGAAGTACAGTGGCATGATCTCAGCTCACTGCAACCTCTGCCTCCCAAGCTCACTCGATTCTCCTGCCTCAGCCTCCCGAGTAGCTGGGATTACAGATGTGTGCCACCACGCCCAGCTAATTTTATAGTTTTAGTAGAGATGGGTTTCACCATGTTGGCCAGGCTGGTCTCGAATTTCTGACCTCAGGTGATCAGCTCTACTAGGCTTCCCAAACTGTTGGGATTACAGCTGTGAGTCACCATGCCTGGTCCACATTTTATTTACTGTTAATTTTTAGCTGATAGGGGGCAGGACTTTCTTTTTTCTTGCCTTTTTTTTTTTTTTTTTTTTCCCCCAGAGATAGGGGGTCTCACTATGTTGCCCAGGCTGGTCTCAAACTCTTAGTCTCAACCAAGCCTCCCGCCTCAGTCTCTCAAAGTGCTGGGATTATAGGCATGAACCACTGTGCCTGGCCCACTCACCTCTTTAAGCTTCTTTATTGTGTCTGAGTTTGTCTACCTCCTACCCCCCATATAGAGACATTTAATTTTGGTATTTAAGATCGTTCACCTGATCTGTCCTTTTACTTTCTTGCTAATACTGGTTAATTAAGCCTAAAGCAATGGTCAGAAATGGTTTCCGGACAAGTTCTTTTTTTGAGACTTGCCATACCGTGCAAAGCCGTGCTAAAAAAACCACAGAAACAGCTGAATGGCAATGCCAGCTTCCTTCACTGGGACGGGGCTAGAAGAAGAATTACACATCCACTTCATGCCACTGACACGCACTTTATACAACAACTGATGGTAAAAGTCATTTCATTTTCGTTCTTTATTACTTTCAATATCATTAGTTTTATTTCCTTATTTTCAGATGTCAAAGAAGGAAATGCCAATCCTTCAGTTCAATTCTCAGTTGCAGTAAAGCCACCTACAGGATCAGATCATACTAAATTGAAATACTATTATTATCCTTTTCCGTAAGGGAGGCAGTCAATGGTGAATGCTGGCCTCACTGATTACTCGCCTGGGGACCTGTCTGAGCATCAGTTTTCTCATCTAGAAAATGGGATAATCACCAGAGCACTGAAGAAAATACAGAAAAAAGCCCCCAAACATCAGCATGTTTGGTTGCTGCTCATCTACTTGGATCTGAGTATTTTTTCTTGCCATGAGTGTGACGTGATTATCTTCTCCTACATCACATGCAGTT